TGCTGCTGCTGCTGCTGCTGCTGCTGCTGCTGCTGCTGCTGCTGCTGCTGCTGCTGCTGCTGCTGCTGCTGCTGCTGCTGAGGGGCCCTGAAGCACTCACTTCGCAGACGCCGCAGCAGCAGCACGCGGTTCGGTCTGTTTGCCCGCAAAGCTACAGCTGCGGCTTGGTGCTGCTGCCCTTGCTGCCGCTGCTTGTGCTGCCATTCGCGCTGCTGCTGCTGCTGCTGCTGCTGCTGCTGCAGGAAGTAGAAAAGCAGCTGGCCAAAAGGGCCTTTAGCTGCTCCTTGTCCGACGCAGTGACAGCCGCGTTTGCTGCAGTGGCGCTGCAGCTGCACAGGGGGTCGCAGCAGCTGCTGCTCGAGCTGCTGCAGCAAACGGAGCTGCTGCAGCAGCAAGATGACTTAGACGCCGAGTAAGCGCGCTTCTTTGCCTCCATCAGCCTGCTGCTGCTGCTGCCCAACTTTGCTGCTGCTGCTGCTGCACAACTTTGCTGCTGCTGCTGTTGCTACGTGGGAATGCTGCTAGCGCTGCTACTTGTGTATGCTGCTGCTGGTACTGTTGCACCGTTTGTGTGCTGCTGCTGCTGGCACTGTTGCTGCATGTCTCTGCTGCTGCTGCTGCTGCTGCTGCAGAGACGCTTGGGGAGAGCTGCCGCTGCGGCAGCAGCAAATTGCTCTGGAACTGAGTTTAGACCCCAAGGCGAAGCCGCTTCGTGAGGTGAGTGCTTCAGGTGTACGTACACCCGGCAGCAGCAGCAGCAGCAGCAGCAGCAGCAGCAGCAGCCGCTGCTGCTGCAGCGGGTCGGCCGTGCTGCTGCGCTCCTTGTGCTGCAGCTACTGCAGCAGAAGGGCCTCGGCCACTTTGCTGCCTTTCCTGCTACTCTTCGCGGCGAGGCGGTGGAGACACAAAATGAGGGAAAGGAGAAAGTGCTGCTGCAAGAAGTGGGTTGCTGCTGCTGCTGCTGCTGCTGCTGCTGCTGCTGCTGCTGCTGCTTTTTCTGCTGCTGCTATGGCTCCGACTCGGTGCTGCTCGAAGAAGCCGCAGTGCAGCGCGGTCGGTGAGGGGGTCCTCGTCATGCTCTGCTGCCGCTGTTGCTGCTGCTGTTGCGGCTGCTGCTATTGTTGCTGCTGCTGCTATTGGTGCTGCTGCTGCTATTGGTGCTGCTGCTGCTATTGCTGCTGCTGTTCGCAGATTGAAGAGTTCCTGCAGCAAGAAGACGTTCGACACCGCCTGCTGCTTACCGTAGATGCTCTTCTGCAGCAGCAGCAGAAGCCACAGCAGAAGCAGCAGCAGCAGCCAGAGCAGCAGCACCAGCAGCAGCACCAACAGCCAGAGCAGCAGCAGCAGCAGCAGCAGCAGCAACAGGACGTGGAAGAAGCGAGCTTGAGGCGAGTTGCGCTATCTGTACAGCTCAAGGACTTCCCCTGTCTGCGCACCTACCGCGTGGCATCTCTTTTCCTGTGGCCCTCAGCAGCAGCAGCAGCAGCAGCAGCAGCAGAAGCAGCAGCAGCAGAAGTGCTGCAGCACGAGCAGCAAGGCGGGAGCAGCAGCAGCAACTCGCTTGCTGTCGTCGCAGACTTTTCGACCTTTGCGGAGTTTGAGGGGCCTGCTGAGGTGTACGTACAGCTCAAGTACAGACACCTGCGCCGCGCGGGACATGCACTGGTCAGTTTTTTATTTATTTTATTTTTATTTTATTTCTTTTTTTTTATTTCTAGTTTTGTTGTTGCTTTTTAACTCGATGCATGCAGCAGCAGCTTGCAGCTGCTGCACTCCACGCTTCTCCGCGTCAGTGCGCATTTTTTTGCTTCTGCTGCTGCTGCTGCGCGCCTCCTGCTGCTGTGCTGCTGCTGCTGTGCTGCTGCTGCTGTGCTGCTGCTGCTGTGCTTCTGCTGCTGTGCTGCTTCTACTGCTTATCTGGTGATGCTGCTGCTGTGCCGCTGCTGCTGCTGCTGCTGTGCTGCTGCTGCTGCTGCTGCTGCAGATAGCAGTGCGCGCGGAGGAGTGGGCGAAAGCAAATGGAGAAGAAGAGCGTTTGGTGCTGCTGCTGAAGTCTCTGCTGCTGCCCGAACGCAGCTGAGGTGTACGTACACCTCAGCTCAGCTGTACGTACACCTCAGCTGCGCATGCAGCGCGGGGCTTGGGGCACTGCGCCCGCCAAGTGTACATACACCTCAAAGGCCCCCTTTGCTCCAAACAGCATTTGAATTCGTCGCCGTAAAGCTGCGGGAGCGCTCTTTGGCAGCCTAGCTAGCTGGCTAGCTAGCTAGCTAGCTAGTTAGCTGGCCAGCTAGCTAGCTAGCTAGCTAGCTGGCTAGCCGGCTGGGTAGCTAGCTGGCTAGCTAGGTAGCTAGCTGGCTAGCTGGCTGGGTAGCTAGCTAGCTAGCTGGTTCGCTTCCTGGGTAGCTAGCTGGCTAGGGAGGTAGTTAGCTGGTCAGTTTGCCAGAGACATAGCCAGCTATTTAGCTAGCTAGCTAGCTAGTTAGCCAGCTAGCTAGCTAACTGGTTGGCTGGCTAGCTAGTTAGCTAGCTAGCTAGTTAGCTAGCTAGCTAGTTAGCTAGCTAGCTAGCTAGCTAGCTAGCTAGCTAGTTGTGTTTATATGAGGCCCAATGGCGGCAGTTAGCCTGCAGAGTGTGCGCGCCCGTGAGGTGTATGTACACCTCAGCGGCGTGTGGGGCGGAGACCACAGTCCATTTGCTGCTGCTCTCTTAACTAGAGCTGCTGATAGGCAGCAGCAGCAGCAGCAGCAACAACAGCAGCAGCAGCAGCAGCAGCAGCAGCAGGCGAGGAGCCAAGCAACAGGCAGTCAGGAGCAAAAGGAAAAAAGAATTAAAAGAGTTTTGAAACAAAAGACATCAACAAACAAAATCAAAAACAATTCTTTTTAACTCCAGCCAGACCCAGACCCAGCAGGGCCCCTCTATATAAAAAGGGGCCCCTACAATGGGGCCCCCCAGGGGGCCCCCAAGGCTGGGGCCCCCCAGGGGGGCCCTGAGACTGGGGGGCCCCAGGGGGGCCCCCAAGGCTGGGGCCCCCCAGGAGGCCCCTAAGACTGGGGGCCCCCAGGGGGGCCCCAACGCTGGGGCCTCTTAGGGGGGGCCCCAGCCAGACGGGGGCCGCAGGGGGCCCCCTGGGGTCCCCAAGGGGGGCCCCCTGGGGGCCCCAATGAGGGGGTCCCAGGGGCCCCCAAGGGGGGCCCCCCAGACAGCCCAAGGAGGGGGCCCCAGGGGCCCCTGCCTCAAAGGGGCCACAGAAGGGCAGGGGGCCCCCGGGGGCCCCCGGGGGCCCCCTGGGGCCCCCGGGGGCCCCTAAATGTAGTTCCCCTTGTGGCCCCTTGGGGCCTTCTGGGGGCCCCCTTGGGGCCCCAGGAGGCCCCAAAGGGGCCTTTTTGGGGCCCCTTTTAGTGCCCTTTTTGGGTCCTTTTTTAGTCCCCTTTTGGGGCCCCTCTTAGTGCCCTTTTTAGGGACTTTGGAAACATTTTAGAAATGTTTGAGGTAAATGATTTGAAGGGAAGCAGCCAGTAAACGGAGGGCTAGCGGCTAAACCCTAAACCCTCGAGGGTTTAGGGTTTAGTGTTGAGGGTTTAGGGTTTAGGCCATAGCGCTAAACCCTAAGCCAATCATATCTTCACAGCGGCTGTTTCCTCTTGCTGCAGTTCTTTTTAAGAAAAGAAGACAGCAGCAAAATAAAATAATTTGGAGAAGCAGCTTTAGTCTTAATTAGACTTGGCGTTGCTGCTGCTGCTGCTGCTGCTGCTGCTGCTGCTCCAGCTGGTCCTGCTGCTGCTCTAGCTGCTGCTGCTTCCGGTTAAGATGCCAGACTCGCTGCTGCAGCTACTGCTGCTGCTGCTGCTGGTTTTGCTGCTGCTGCTGCTGGTCTAGCCGCTGTTGCTGCTGGTTTCCCTGCTGCTGTTGCTGGTCTAGCTACTAGTTCTGGCCTAGTTACTGTTGCTGCTGCTGTTGTTGTTGCTGCTGCTGCTGCTGCTGCTGCTGCTGAACTCTTGCAGACAAGAAGCAGCAGCAAGCTTCCGGGGTCTGTGTCTGTAGGAACGCTCGTCATTCACCATATTTGTAGCTCATAAACCCTAGATCTCAAACCCTAAACCCTAAACCCTAAGATAGGGTTTCATCTGCCAGCTGCAGCCAGCCCCAGTCAGTCTAGTTAGCCCTAGCTGGCCAAAATAGCCTCAGCTAGCCACAGCTAGCCACAGCTAGCCATAGCTAGCCATTGGTATCCCCACCTAGCCACAGCTAGTCCCAGCTAGCCACAGCTAGTCCCAGCTAGCCACAGTGAGCTACAGGCTCTTACGGATAGGGCCAACTAGCCGCAACAACAGCCCCAGCTAGCTGCAGTTCCTTCTAGCTAGCTGCAGCCTCTTCTAGCTAGCTGCAGCCTCTTCTAGCTAGCTGCAGCTGCAGCTAGCTAGCTGCAGCTGCAGCTAGCTAGCTGCAGCCTCTTCTAGCTAGCTGCAGCTGCTGCGGTGCTTTGCTGGAGGTGCTGCAGGCGGCTTTGGCTAGCTAAGGGGGCTTGAGAAAGAAGTGGAGAGAAAAAACAAAAGTGAAAACACTTTTTGGGGTTTTGGAATTTTATCTAAACCCTCGGCCAAACCCTAGGGGCCCCACATTGGGGAGAGGGTTTGAGAGGCTAGGGTTTGAGTGGGGGCTTTTCAAGCAGTGCGTTCGAGGGTTTAGGGCTGAGGGTTTAGGGTTTGGCCTTGAGGGTTTAGGGTTTCGCCTTGAGGGTTTAGGGTTTGGCCTTGAGGGTTTAGGGTTTGGCCTTGAGGGTTTAGGGTTTGGCCTTGAGGGTTTAGGGTTTGGCCGTGAGGGTTTAGGGTTTGGCCGTGAGGGTTTAGGGTTTGGCCGTGAGGGTTTAGGGTTTGGCCGTGAGGGTTTAGGGTTTGGCCTTGAGGGTTTAGGGTTTGGCCTTGAGGGTTTAGGGTTTCGGAGTGGGGATCTAGGGCCTGAGCGTGCGACTGAGGGTTTAGGGTTTACGACTGAGGGCTCAGGGTCTTTGGCTGAGGGTCTAGGGTTTGGGGGCTAGGGCTGAGGGCTCGAGACTGAGGGTTTAGGGTTTAGGGTTTAGGGTTAGGGGTGCTGCTGGGCTGCTGCAGCAGCGGTCCAGCCTCAAAAGCCACGCTCTCCACACAAGGGGGTTAAGTTGAGTTGCTGCTGCAGCGAGACAAGGGTTTGTGGCGGGCCCGCGTGGCTAGCTAGCTAGCTAGCTAGCTAGCTGCCCGCGTTCGCAGGAGAAGCTCCTGCCTGCTTGAGACATGAAAAACAAGAAATAAATTAATTTAAAATGCCTTTTTAAGCCCCGAGGCTTCGCCAAAGAGGCGGAGAGAAGCGGCGGGGAGGCGGCGGCGGCGGCGCGGCGGCGGCGCGGTGTACGTACACCCCGCGGCCGTGTGCTGCTGGAGAATCGGCGTTTGTCCACTCAAATGGATCTTTTTTTGCGGAATTTGATCAAAATAAATCCATTTTGGAGAAACAATTGCGTTGAAAGATCGAAAAGGGGGCCCCAGGCGGCAGCCGACGCCAGAGGCCTCTGCGCCGCCGAGCCGGGCCGCTCGTTCTGCTGCTGCTGGCTGTGGCTGTGGCTGCTGCTGCTGCTGCTGCTGCTGCTGAAAAGGTGCTGCTGTTTATATGCGTTTTCGCCCTTGTTTAGCATCTTTTGCTGCATTTTTAATCCTTATAATCAAATACACTTTAGAGAGCTGCAGCAGACAGCCCAAGATGTACACAGAGGCGCCCGCCGGGGCCACCGCGGCCGGTGAGATAGGACCCAGCGAAACCGCAGCCCTAAACCCTAAACCCTAAACCCTAAACCCTAAACCCTAAGCCCTTTTCCAGCGACCCTGCATATTTCCGGCTCACCTCCCCGAAAGTCGGGAGTGAGGCTTGGCGAGACAGCAGCAACTCACCAAGGCAGCAGCAGCAGCAGCAGCAGCACCCGCCGCAGCAGCAGCAGCAGCAGCAGCAGCGGGGCCCTGTTGACCTTGTTTTTACCTCCCACTTTAGAGTTCGAGCTTGGGCTTCTTGGCATTGACTCGAGGCTGCCGCTGGCTGCGTCCGCAGCAGCAGCAGCCGCAGCAGCAGCAGCAGCAGCCGCTGCTGCAGCTGCTGCAGCTGCTGCAGCAGCTGCAGCTGCCTTAGCCGCGCGAATCCCTTGCGTGTGTCCCGCGTGCCCCCGTCGGCTGCTGCTGCTGCTGCTGCAGCAGCAGCAGCAGCAGCAGCGGCGCGCCCACTGCGGCTGCGTGGCGAGTTTGAGGCGTGTGTGCGTTGCGTTTGCTGCTGCTGCTGCTGCTGCTGCTGCTGCTGCTGCTGCTGCAGACGCGCAGGGCCTGATGACGGGGGAGGCCTCTCCGTACCCGCCAGTGCCCTCTTCTGCTGCGCACTTGGCAGAACAAGTCGAGAGTGGAGGAGCTCGTCTTGAAGAAACTCTTTTAAGACTTAATTGCAAATCTTCAACTCTTTTTTTTGCTGCTGCTCTTTCGGTCTTCGCCGGAGGCCTTCTTGCTGCTCTCTGCAGCCTCGCCGGCTTCGACCTGCCCTCCCTCGTCGTCTCCATCTTCCTCGTGTACGCTGCTGCTGCTGCTGCTGCTGCTGCTGCTGCTGCTGCTGCGTTGTTGCTGCAGCAGCAGCAGCTGCTGCATTGTTGCTGCTGCTGCTGCTGCTGCGGGATTTGGCGGGGAGCTCGGTTCTCTCTTGCCGCTCCTTGTCTGCCCCGCCTTCCCCCCTCCCCCGCTGCTGCTGCTGCTGCTGCTGCTGCTGCTGCTGCAGCAGGTGTGGGGCTGTTTGCTGCTTGCTGCTGCAGGCTCTTTGGCTTCTTCCTGATGCTCATAGATGTGCCCGGAAGCCCCCGCTGGGCGGGGAGACACCGGACTTTAATTCGTCGGCACTTTCGTTTTTTAACTCGACTGACATTCAAGAGTTTGTTTTTGATCTTCTTGGGCTGTTTGTTGTCTTGCTGCTTGTCTGCTGCGGGGCTGCCTTCCGCGCTGCGCAGCAGCAGCAGCAGCAGCAGCAGCAGCGGGCTGCGCGCAGCAGCAGCAGCGCTGCTGGGCCTCTGGGTCGCTGCAGCAGGAGCAGCAGGGCTGCTGATAGGGGCGCGGAAGAGTTTGCGTCTGGAGCGTCTTCGCCGGGCATTGCTGGCTTCCTCCAAAGGCCGCTGGCCCGCAGCAGCAGGAGCAGCAGCAGCAGCAGCAGCAGCAGCAGCAGCAGCAGAGCCCTTTCGCCAGTACGCCCTCACCGACCCCGCCCACGGGCTGCAGCTCGAGGAGTTCAACAGATTGGCAGCAGACGCAACAGCAGGTCAAATCCAGTTCGACATCACTGACCTCGGCGTTGTCTTCAACGCTCTCGACGAACACCAAAAGAGCGCCATCAACGAACGCGAGTTCACCGAGTGGCTTGCGGGTCCGCTTAGGGTTTGCGGAGGGTTTAGGGTTTAGGGAGGGTTTGAGGGTTTAGGGGAGGGTTTGAGGGTTTGGGGGAGGTTTGGGGGTTTAAAGGAGGTTCTGAGGGTTTACGGGAGGTTTTGAGGGTTTAGGGGAGGTTTTGGGGGTTTACGGGAGGGTTTGGGGGTTTAGGAGAGGTTTTGAGGGTTTAGGGGAGGGTTTGGGGGTTTACGGGAGGTTTTGGGGGTTTAGC